TTTATTATTATCAATTTTTATGGGAAACGTTTTTCTCTATCACTTTCAGTTTTTTAATCATAGCAGAATTAACATAGATGATTGTCAATTTTGATATTTTGAGAATTCCTGGCTTGAACCTAAGAAATGGTAATATCTAAGGTAGCATTGGTTATGAATAATGTTATCTTGATTCATTATCATCAATTTTTATTGGAAACGTTTTTCTCAATCACCTCTAATTTTCTCCTTATAACAGAATTTAACGCAGATGATTGTCAATTTTGATATTTTGAGAATTCCTGACTTGAACTTAAGAAATAGTGATATCTTTGATAGCATTGATTATGAATTATGTTATCTTGATTTATTATTATCAATTTTTATGGGAAACGTTTTTCTCTATCACTTTCAGTTTTTTTAATCATAGCAGAATCAACATAGATGATTGTCAATTTTGATATTTTGAGAATTCCTGTCGAAGGTAGCATTGGTTATGAATAATGTTATGTTGATTCATTATCATCAATTTTTATGGAAAACGTTTTTCTCTATCACCTTCAGTTTTTTTAGTCATAACAGAATTTAATGTAGATGATTGTCAATTTGGATATTGTGGGATTTCCTGGCTTGTGCATGAGAAATTGAGATAACTGTGATGGTATTGCTTATGAATTATGATATCTTGATCCATTATCATCAATTTGGAACCAATCAACTTGGATCTAATCGCTGGTACAACGTTATCGATAATCATCTGTTTGCATTCTTTTTCTTTGCTTGCTGTTCCTTTTTGCATATTCTTTATAAACAAAACCCCAGAGTGCTATTTTGCCGTTGAAATACTGTTTTTTAGCACTGTCATAGCGTGGTCTGGCCACTGCAGCCGTAAACATAACTTTAGTTATGAACCGTTTCCTTTTACAACACCTTTCTGGTTCTGCTTCGTCCAGCGTTATGTAGTATGACCTTTTAACTTGCGTTGAGTCGTACATATCCTCAAAACATCGATTTGATTTAACCTTCGACAAACAGAACTCTAGTTTCTTTCATTAATTAAATTAAGATTACATTATATTATATTAAATAGATAGAAAGAAACTCGTTAATTCTCCAAACTTTCCTTAATCCATAAATTTTAGAGAAATGTAGTTGTTTAGTACCGTTTTGATATTTTTTTATATTGTATTAAGTTTTGACGAGCGATTTTACGGGTTTGATTCAATTTGAATTTTAAATTGGAATAATAAGCGTCATAACAATAACGAAATTCCGGGGATTCCGTCAGAGTTCTGGTAATTGCGGCTTTGTGTCTGAAGACGAGTTCAAACGGAGTTTTTACATATATGGATATGTCCTATTTATTATTAGTTTGGTTCTAATTGATATAGTGTTCTTAGTATTAAGTACTTTTAAAGGGGATGAAATTCTCCATATTTCTCAAATAATTAAAAAATAATATAGAAAAGACTTTTTATGAGAAATACTAAAATATTTAATTTAATTCAAATAGTAAACATGTTTCGAAACTTTTGGATATAACCTATTCATAGGTTATTTTCCAAAATTTTTTAAAGAATTTTTATTTAATTTTTTGATTTTTTGTAAATTTTAAAATATTTTGTATTTAAGAAGAAAAGCTTAAACTTATACCTAATCCCAACATACCTTAAAATTTTTCCATCAATTTGTAAATTAATTTATGTACTGAAGATGAAACAATAGTTTCGAAACACGTTTACTATTTGAAATTAACTTTTAAGGTGTGGTGACTCCACATGGTTTATTATACATAGACGATTTAGTTTTTTAACCTTGATCGGTCGGTTAAAATACATTCGGGAATTCCAAAGATGGCAATAAATTTGTAACAGAATGTTTTTCACGGCTGTTGCATCATGATTTAGTAGTGGTTTTGCGTAGGAGCATTTTACATTATCTTGCATGGTATGAATAAATCTGTTTAAGTTTGACAGGATCATCTATATCCAAAGCTCCATTTCAAAAGTTGATTTCATTGGTGGGCGTTGTTTCCATAGAAGCCTTGTTTAATTTATGATTAATTTACAAGTCCTCTTTCATTTTATATAAATTTTTATATAACCTAAATGGAAATGTATACAGTTCAGGTATTTTAAAATGGGTTCTGTTGCATTCCTGTACCTTAGGAATGCCAAAGGTTTAGAGCAAATGTAGGTCCTTGATGAACCCTAGTATTGCTCCAAACCTTACCCAAAATTTTGTGTCTGTCGACGTATTCATACAATATATGTTCAGCAGTCTCTGACTCGTCATTTGCACAGTTGACAAGTTTGATTCTCAGCTTGTCCAATGTGGAAGAGGTGGTATTTTAGAGGCGCATGGCCGGCCAGGAAGCCTGAAAGGGACCTTAGGTCCTCCCTTTGCTGAGGCATAAACCTCTTTGGTTTTGATTTTCGGCGGAGTTATCATACTCTTCACCTTTCTGTGATCTGGAACCTCTGTCTAGCGTAAGTCTAACTTTGAGGCCTCCCATCTATTAATTACCTATTTTAAGTGGGTTTTTTTGTAGTCCACAGCCGGGTTGGGGTCCAATAAAAGGAGCAATTTCATTGCCTCCAATGTCTTTATGACGTGGAACTCTCCATAGAGTAACTTTATTGCCCCTGGCGAGTTCTCTGAGGTTGCCGCTACATTCTCTGACCAGCATTCACACGTGATAAGGTCTGAATTGCCTTTAGGGCTGCCCGACTGTCCATGAAAATGTTTATGGATGTACCTTTCTGTCCCTTTTCTAGGTTCAAAACGGTGCAAAAGTTTATAGTAAGAACTTTAGCTTGAAAAATGGTTATGTTCGAGCTGAGGAGCAACTCAATTATTTGTTCCACTAATGCATCGGTGTAGCAGGCAAGGGCTCCTCATTTGAGTTGAGGCTCTACCTTCGTCCAATCATCCCTGTTTCTAAATATAACCTTATATGGCTGGTCGAAATTATATTCCGTCGACCCCAGTTCTTTCCAAGGACCCTGCGGCAGATCTGGTTAGCTATGATGGCCTTTTTCCTCACCTTGACTGTGTGGGAATTCTAGTTTAATAGTACTGTCCAGTACTACCCCTAGGTATTTGACTTCTGTTTTGAGGTATAGTTCTGTCTTCAATGGAGGGTGGTCTCAATTGTAACTTCCTTCTGCTTTATTCGGATTAATGGTGAGCCTATTGTTTGTGCTAGTATGTAGTAGGACTTTCTGGATTTATTTGGGTTATGATTGTGTCATATTTACCTCGGATATTTACCTCTCACCTATTCCTGAATCATGAATGCATTCTTTGTTACGATGTTGATCAATGCATCAACTACTAGGCACCATAGGAGAGGTGAAAACACTGCCAATTGGGAATATCCTCTAAGTGCCTTAATAGTCTACGACTCGCCTCCCAGACTGGTTGTGATCTGCCAATTTTTCAGCATGGCTTTACACCATTTGCTCGTCGAGAGATGTATGCCTTTTACGTTTAGAGCTTTCTCTATGGATTCACAAGAGATGTTATCAAAAGTACCCTCTATGTCTACGAATACACATAGGGCCTCTACACTTACATACTCTTACAGCCTCTTTGGCTGTAATTGTCTCCTCTAAAATGCTTGTCAAAGCATGGAGAGTAATAATTGTTGATTTTGCTTTCTGATAAGCATGTTGGTTTGGATGGAGTGGATTGGTGACAAGCACTCCTTTCCTGAGCTATTAATCGAGTACCTTTTCCATCTCTTTGAGGAGAAATGAAGTTAGGCTGATTGGTCTGTATGTCTTGGAATCTACATTTGATTCCTGTATCTTAGAAGGCCAAATAAAAGATACGTCCTGTTTAGTAGTGATGTTAGGGTTTTTGCGAAGATAAATCTACTAATCGAAGATACTATCCTATCAACCCTAAGAATTGGTTTACGTGTTTGTGATTTTTAGGAGTAAGATAACCGAAATTGCCTTGATTTTATCGGGATTTGGGACTACTCTTTTGTCACTAATGACTTGGCTTAAGTACGTTAGTTCTTTTCTTAAGAACTCGTACTTATCTAGTTGTAATAAAATTTCGTTTGTGTGGAAGAGCTTTTTAAACTAAATGGCATCCGGGTGAACACATAGTGATTGTATGGAGTAAAACTAACAAAATCTGGGGTATGGAAGTACACATAGTGACTTAGTTGGCCGAGAATATACTCGATATCATCATTTAGTTTCTTTTAGTCTATCATAATTCGCCACAGTTGCACGCCAGAAACATCGACTTTTTTTCGAAACGATTAAAATATAAAGGACAGCTGTGTTTTGTGTACCTCAGGAAAATTTCACCACTTGCATGGAACTAAGTTTATCATAACTTAAGTAGAATATCTTGTTATATTCTGCGCAGATCTCTGGAATAGAAAATTTATCTTCGAGGTTTCGATAATCTAGTCGAAGATTTTCTTTTAAAAGTTTGACTCAATCTTTTGAAGTTAAATTGGAGGATGGTGTGAGATTGAATATGTGAGATTTGTTTTTTTCTAAAGAGATCTAAGAAGAGTGATATCGATTTTGACTTGTTGATTTGTAGTATGTAGGATGGTGGTCATTGCCTTACTGTTTGTTTAACTTTAATAAGAAATTTTCTAAGAAATACTTCGAGACACACGTGAATCTTGGACCTTGTTCAATATTCTCATTTTTTATATTGACTTCAATAAGGGTCACTGAACGAGAATTCAGGAAATAAGAAACGGATTAGGAAATGTTATAGTTTGAATAGACACGTATTAGCGATGAAAGGTCTTCAATTTTTAAAGTATTTCTGTTGTAACAGATGCTCAAGATCCTACTTAGATGTTAATTTATTGTGTTCCTTGTCGAAATAAAACAAGACTCAGGAGAGTCAATGTGCCTAAGCAATATGTTTAAACAAACAAGTTCTATAAGTAAATTGCATTTTTTCTTTGATGTTATAAAAGATTGTTTGTGATTAGTAATTCTAATGATAACGATTTTTTTTCTTTGAATATTTTGCAGCAACGTTACTCGGATATGATTGTATGGTCCCGGAGCAGTGTACCATGAAGGTGGCAAATAGCAGCTGTCTGGATGGCGTCTGCCGTTGTGTCGATGGATTCCTTCAATTTAGAAAACACACGTGTCTAGCACGTAAGTAGATCAACACATTGATTTAATCATGAATTTAAATATAAAATATTCTTATATCTATACAATCTTACAAGAAGAATGATGAGTTTTTACATTGACCACTATGAAATAACACGTATAGAAATAAAGACGTAGTTTTCTATCGTGGTAATCACGGTTCATATACGGCGTGAGCTTTAAATCAACTCCGCGCAGAACCGTTTCGCTGCTGCACCGACGACCGTTTGATTTATTCAGGTGATGCCTATCGCGTGCACTTTGCTATCATAAACCATTAATAGCGGTAGAGGTAGTCGACTACTCCCGCTATCGCAACACCCAGTAGATTGCATCGTGATTATACGCGAGCTCCGCTTTATTTCTTTTGTGATACAGGAAGTGCACTTGTAACGAACAGAAAAATAATCTTAATATTCTACTACAAGCGTTTTGTGTATGTAAAAGATGTTTTAATTCAATCAATCTATTGATAGATAGTATAGATACCACAGTGATGTTGGAGTTTGTTAGTCCCATGTTATTCCTGACGATCCGATCGATGGCGGTAATAATTTGTCTTTGTACTAACTAGTAACGTTGTATGTACATACATACGTGTCGCGCGTCCAAGCGATCGACTCCAAGGAGATAAAGAGCCGCATCCTGCATGATCTATGGTTGATTACGTTTTTTTTTAGTTGGGTAGTTAATTATCGTTAAGGCAAACCACATCACGATTAGGTATAGGGAATTTCTCCCACGTCGACGTCTTGTTTCCCATGTATCAAAAACTCAAGATATTATTCGTGGTGTTCACATAGCTATCATCAAAACATTTATAAAACATCCTTGAAGCTACTAAAATTATATTAAATATATTGTTATGTGATCTCATTTCATCACAAATCAATCTTTGTTACCTACAATTCCTTAAATTTATATAAGACCAGTGTATCTTATATAAATTTTATGAATATTAATTATTATAATAATAAATAATTCTTATATCAATACACCATGGTTTAAGTATCAACAAAAGCTTTTAAAGACAACAAAAGAATTAAACTATAAATTGTAATTAACTTTCATCACATTTCTATTGCCTTGAAAACCATTCTACAGCTGTTTCACGACATCTGGAGTCGTTATTTTCGTTGTTTTACGGTTGTTGGTTCAATTTGATGCCAAATCGGTGAAGTAAAGAATAATTATAATAAAACAACGGTAAGTTGTTTGTTCAACTAATGATGTTTAAATAATCGGTAGAACTGTTGTATGTCTAAATAAAAGCTTATAACGATCAATGAACCGTCATGTCATGAGACGGTCGTGATTAAAGCTAAATTTCTTTTCTCCCATTTTTTACGGTCTTTCTGCAATCATATACATTTTTTTTTTATTTTACATTTGTCTTGTCGATGGTTTAACTTTATGTACCTTTTGATGCCGATTTAATAATACACATAGAAAATTAAAAGTGACAATAATGACCTCATTGGATGCACGTTACAATGGTGTAAAAACAATTCTACTATAATTAAATCAAAAATTATTAATGTATATAAAAAATTAAAAAAATAGTAACGAAAGCAACAAAAAATAAAGTAATTGTCGAAAAAAAAAACAAAAAACACATCTAAAGATGTTAACAAACCAAAATAACCCACGCTTAGGATCCATCTACACCATCACTAACATCCATCACTCCACACGAGACCCCCTTAATGATTAACATGGAATTGCTCCTACTTAACAAATATTACGCACCAAACTTACTCACTGCTTTTTTATAACTCATAAACTTAACTATTATGCTTTAAAGTCCATTGTGTACTTTCCCAATTGGATGGCACCGGTCTATGAAGTTTTCATCTACTTGCAAGTCCAGTTTATCTTGAATAACCTTATAACATTTTCCTCACATTTACTTTGTGGACTCACTCATTCCATTAATTCTAACGTATGCTCCTCTCGAATATTGTTCCAGGCTATCCACTTTCGACGAAAGACTTTCCGTTTTATCCATTAGTTGTTTGTTAAATATCTGTGTAAAAAGTTTCCTGATTTATCTAAAGTCAAGTTGAAAGAGGAAGTCTTTGTTGGTCCAGGTATCCGCATGCTTATAAAAAATAANGGTTTAACTTTATGTACCTTTTGATGCCGATTTAATAATACACATAGAAAATTAAAAGTAGCAATAATGACCTCATTGGATGCACGTTACAATGGTGTAAAAACGATTCTACTATAATTAAATCAAAAATTATTAATGTATATAAAAAATAAAAAAAATAGTAACGAAAGCAACATAAAATAAAGTAACTGTCGAAAAAAAAAACAAAAAACACATCTAACGATGTTGACAAACCAAAATAACCCACGCTTAGGATCCATCTGCACCATCACTAACATTCATCACTCCACACGAGACCCCCTTTAATGATTAACATGGAATTGCTCTTATTTAAGATCATCCAAATCTGTTTCACTAGAAACTGTGTGTTTATTATTGCCGACCTTAACAAATATTCTTCCATCCAGTGACCAAACAGCTAACACCAAACTTACTCACTGCTTTTTTATAACTCGTAAACTTGACTATTATGCTTTGAAGTCCATTGTGTACTTTTCCAATTGGATGGCACCGGTCTATGAAGTTTTCATCTACTTGCAAGTCCACTTTATCTTTGAATAATCTTATAACATTTTCCTCACATTTACTTTGTGGAGATTCACTCATTCCATTAATTCTAACGCATGCTCTTCTCGAAGATTGTTCCAGGCTATCCACTTTGGACGAAAGACTTTCCGTTTTATCCACTAGTTGTTTGTTGACAATCGCGTTTTGTCAGTCATTTTTAATGACGACCAATTACACGGAAACTCCCTGAATACAATGAGACGAACTTTAGCAAAATAAGAGCACTTTGATTGATATAAAAACCGGTCAACTTGCGGAGCGAAGAAACAACGATCCCTCACACTGACGCCATTTTCTTTTCTTCATTCTTTGTTTTGGCATGAAACTGGGAGACCAGGACAAATTGTGGGTTGCTCATAAAGCTTGTGTGTAGTGTCTCTGATCTACGCTTCTGATTCAAAGGAATGAAGACTGCTTGATGGTTTAAAAATATGATATGAAGGGAGTTGTCAAACTATTCTGATTGAGTCTTGCCATGTCCGTGGCAAAAATCAGCTTTTGATTTTTGCCTATCTCTTACCATGATAAAATTTCATCGGCCGTACTCCCTGTTCCTCATGGATATAATGTGCCAGATTCAGTTATCTCTTCAGAATTGGAACATCGGGAAGTCCAAGGCATCGATACCGAATAGAGAAGACCCTTGATAGTGATTCATTACAGCCCAGATTCTGGTAGTCCGAAAGAGGCAGCTAAATTAGTAGGCTCCAGATTAAAAGATAAAAACTTATTGACAAAGAGAACCTTTTTTATCGGTACAGTAATCGAGAAAAGCTCGATAAGATAAACTGTTTATAATTTCGTCGAAAAGGAGACTTAAAACTGTATTTGTACCAGTTAGATACTCGATGCATATAAAAGGGCGCTATAATAACCTGGCTCTCGTCCTCAACAAAATCAAATTTCCTGACCGCTATTGCACTATTTGTGATGACACTCAGTTAAAAGAATGGCCGAACAACAACATCTTCAACCAGGCACCAAAAATATGATTCGGAACAGCTTAGTTACCCCAAGAAAAACTATTGTTACCCCCACTGCATAAAGTTAACTGGAATGATGCAGTTTGTTAAGACTATTCCTAAAGATGGTGACTGTTTCAAATATCTGTGTAAAAAGTTTCCTGATTTATCTAAAGTCAAGTTGAAAGAGGAAGTCTTTGTTGGTCCAGGTATCCGCATGCTTATGAAAGATAAAGAATATACTAGAAAACAACAAAGGAAAAAGAAACTTGGGTTAAAAGATGTCATCAGTAAATTTCTGGGAGATTAGAAGAATCCTTACTATAAATCAATTGTAATCAATATGCTGGACAAATTTTAAGCATTGGATTGCTGCAAGGGTGTCAAAATGAATTTCCTTCACTCACAAGTGAACTTTTTTCTCGAAAATTTAGGATCATTCAGCAAAGGTTCCACCAAAATATCAAATGGACCGCGTTATGCATCACTTGACTAACCGACAAATGAATAATGAGAAAAACGAGATTTTCGTTTTCATCTCTCTAAAAATATAAAACTTCTCAGAATAGACAGGCTCAAACTATTGAAAATTGTTTGGTGCCTGTCCATTTTTATCACAGAACACTTATGGCAGCTATCACAAGCACAGAAGCCGCTTGGTGACTCGTTACGTTTTACGATTATACAGGGTGTTTCTGTAAGTCGTGGCATAAATGTAATCATTAAAACTAGAGACAAAATGATGACGATTCGTATAAAAATTTTTGAAGAAAATAATGTAGAGTAGAGTTTCGGCCCTTGGCCATCTTCAGAGACTCTACAAATAGATTAACATCCCTCATCTTATCCATTTTACAAACAAGTTTCTTAATATTTCTTTTTGTTTTGTTAAAAAAGATCACATATCCACGTCGAAATCAGATTATTAGTTACTAATTTACAAAATTAAAGTTTAAAAAGTTGTAAAATGAAATTAAGGACGCTCTTTTTTAACAAAAGAAATATTAAGAAACTTGGGAAAAATTCAAGAGTCATCATGTGGCTTAACAATTGACGATTTTCCAAAAAACACATTAAAAATAAAAAGAAAGTGCGGAAAAGTGACTAACACTAGATTAACTTCAGTGATAAAACTTTTATTATATGATAACTAACTTCAGGTTTAAAATGTCAACCTCAATTTTGACATATTTGTAATCTTCATTAAAAATCCTTTAAAATGAGTATAAACACGACATATTTATCTTCAATTTTAATGAAGTTATGGTCAACCGGTTAAGTATATCAACGTCAATTTCGACATATTTGTAATCGTCGTGAAAAATCCTTTAAAATGAGTCCAAACATAACGTTTAATTCTAATATTACTCGAGATATAAGAACTTCCGGT